CAGATCTGCGATGGAAGAAGGGGGGCCTTCCTGCCAGTCACCGGTGTGTGTTGCACCTTTAAAAAAAAAAAATCTTACCACAACCCAGGTTAAAGAATGAGGCTATGAATAGTAGTTCCTTACATTAGCCTGACACTTCTGCCTTTTCAGAGAACTTTCACATCTACTCTCTCATTTGTTTTTCAAAATAGTGTGATGAGGCCAGAGGTGCGGGAACAGGTTCTATCCCCATTTTACAGATGAGGAGGCTGAGGCCAGAGAATATGATATAAAGAGCCCCAGATCACTCATTTCATAAGTGGCAAAGAGAACAGCCTCCTAATCCCCAGGGCAAACTCGTGCCCTGAACCCACAGAGACATGCCCTCTGCCTCTGATGACTACGTGCTTCCTGGGGCTTCAGCCCCACTTTAATACGAAGGCTTTGGGTTCTCTCTAGATCTCTTTCCAAAGGAAAGAGGTGAAGTTTCTAACAGAGGAAGAAAAAATATATCCACTAGATGATGATGATAATAATAAAGCTATAATTCCTGGACAAACCTTGGGGCCATAGCATCTTATTACGTTCAGAGAAACACAGTCCAATGACCAAAAAATGATTCTGGTCTTATTTGGATTTCTTACTGAACATTACAGCAAACAAGTCAAAGTTCACAAGCCCTCCTTCCTTCCCCCCTAGCTGCGCCCCACCCTCAGAGTTTCCTGCAGCACTCCTTCTTCCCACCCTCCCAGTCCTGCCTCCCCCTCCCCCTGCACCTGCAGTATGCCAGCTCTGTACCCAGGTAACATCACCCCCAGCCCTCAGCAAGGGAGCTACAGTCCCGCGACCATGGGCGGAGTGTAGCTCAGAAACTTCAATTCTGCGTCTAAGGTGCCATGGCCATTAGGGGCAGCCCTGGAGTTCAGTGCTGGCTGCTCTGACACCCTGACCCCACGCCTCTTTCTATATCCGTCTTACATGCTCCCACTCTTACGTTACATCAAAGGTCTTTGCCGCATTTGGGTTCTTTAAACTTTTAGATGTGCATTTTTTGAATTTACTTATTAATGTGAAAGCAGTCAGGAGCCAGGCCTGCTTGATTTCTGGCTAAATCTGTACCTGACACAGAATAGTTCTCGATAAAAGATAGTCAAATTGACTTGAACTGGCACTTACACCCACACCCTGAATAAATGCCATCCACTCTGACCTAGCAAGTCTCTCCTGGCTAGGCCTGAAGCCCTGGGTGTGAGGGCATGAGGGGCATTTCCCATACAGGCCTTCTGGGTCTGGGTCAGTTCCGCCCCTGCCAGCTTGGTTGGCTCTGGGCATGTTACACAGACTTTCTCTGCCTCAGTTCTTGTGCTTACAAAATGGGCGTGATAATAGCACCTATGGCACAGGCTATTGTGAGAATTAGATAAGTCAATTCATGTAAGCATTTAAAAGGGTGCCCTGGATACAGTGCACAGTACAGAGAGAGGTGTGCACACTGAAATTCTAATCCACGTACACACTACATATATTCTACATATAACAGTTTTTTTCCACATTTTCTTTATTTTCTATTCAGCTTTTAATTACACACCATCTGTGCTCCCTTTTTCTAACTGATTTACTAAACTTCCTTGATTTCTGAAGTTATTTAATTTCTATTTTATTATGCTTTGTTGAGCAAAACCAATTAGTTGTAATCTTAGGCAATAATTTATTCAAATTTACCCATTAGTGATCAAAACCTGGCTTATTTTGGGAGTCAGGGTAGAAAAGATGTTCAAAGGACTAAAAGCTATGGAGCGAAGACAAAAATGAAGACTTCTCTTATTTTTAAATGGGTTTCTGCTTGTCTCTGCTCTCCTTAAATGAGGGAGGGCGTCTCTGAATATGCAACTAATCTGGAAATCCATCTTAAAGTCTGTACATTTCAGTATCTTTAATACCTTTGTCTCCCCATCTGAAAGATAATGTCTCCTACTAGCAGCAGGTCTGCAAAATGTCCCCCAGGGACTATTCTCTTCTTGATATAAGGTCACCACGCTGCACTTAAGATGGAAAAAGGTCCCCTTGTGATATTCCTGCAAAAGGGTTAAGTGAAGGAATAGATCTAGAAGCAGTGTGGGTGAGGACTTTCGTTTTCAAATATTTGGCAGTTTTTTATGCAACTGAATTTCTCAAGCCCAAGCAGCTTATCTTTACTGTAGTCTACTAGTTCATGGTTTGTTATTATTAGATATGATGTAATACAACATAATATCATTATTATAATGCAATGAATAATGCCATTTAACATCAATAACCTGTATGCTACAGGACACGTATAGCTGTATGTTTTACATCAAGACCTTCTCGTGATTGACACATTGCTTGCTTCCATCGTTGACTTCTTAACTTCTCTAATGGAAGGCTAGGACTTTAGAGGCATCTTAATTCTGCAGGTGTGTTAGGGGCAGTGGAAAAAACCTCTCACACAGAGGAAGGGGATTTCCTTTGTAACACGCATGGAAGCTTTAATGAATGTTTGGGGGAGAGACATACACATGAATAATTTTGCCCCATTTTTTGTTACCTCGCTCAATACAACTACCCTCCTTCAAGAAAATTCCAAGAAATCCTAAAGGGCACTGCCTAAGATTTGGCAACACTAGTTCACTCACCCAAGTCCCTCCAACAAACCTGAAAATGGAGCTCTGAAACAGAGACTTCCAAACTGTGATGCACACTAGAATTACCTGGAGGGCTTTTGAAAACCCCAATTCCCAGGTCACACTCCTGACTAATTAATCAGAATGTCTGGGGGTGGGAGTCAGGCATCAGTACCTTTTAAAAATCCCTATGAATTTTCAGGAGGCAACGACTTCGGAAACCACTGTCTTAACATCTTTACAGCTGCCTGTGCTGGATAAACTTTGCATTCTCCACTTACTGGGCTCCTATTTTGTAAATTTCTTATTTCTTTAAAATCTTGTATTTCAAGTAAAATTAGTTGAGCACCTATTCAGTGCTAAAGATTTGCTGGCTGCTTTCACATTCACTTAACCCCCAGAGGGCCCCTAAGACGGTAGTGCTGTTCTCTCCCTGCTGCGGTTGACTGAGCTGAGGCCCAGAGGGCTTTCCTCACTTGAGTAAAATCTCAGAGTTGGTTCAGGGGTTGAGTCAGGCTTGGAAAGGAGGCCTGGCTCCCAGATCCGTGGGCTTCCCCTACTCTTTAGCTGCCTTATTTTCCTAGTCTCATGAGATCCATTAACTTGTACCATTTATTTTGCTGTTGCCCTTGATGTAATCTCCCTTCACTTTGTTAGCATCAGGGAACCCCGATTTTATTGCCTGCCAGCCATTAAGTTATCACCTATAGAGTTGTAGAATAATACACTGGGAAGAGACATATGAGGTTTATTAGTACAATCCCTGTCTGATACATGCTTTGTTCTCTAACATTTTGATACCAGCAAATAATCAATGCATGGAAGGACACCAAGGGGTTGCAATACGAACGGCTACCTTTTTTCCACCAGACATTTTCACAAGCAGAATCTCACTTTACTCTCACCTGTGTCCTTGAAGTTGGTATTAAGACCACCTTTCATAGCTGAGGCAATAAAGCTCTGAGACATTATGTCAACTGTCCAGATCTGAGAGCTGATGAGCGAGGTCGTGGGGTCTGAATTTGAGTCCTAACCCTCGAGCACACACTCATTTCACTACCCTTCTCTTCTGTCTGCCTTGTCACCTGACACTGTAAGGAGCAACCTCCCTGAAGCTCCATATTTCAAAAATTACTCTTAAGGGAAATGGTTCCTGGAGGTTTTCTTTGACTTATTGGATGTTTAGAAAGGACGTGGATAACCATGAGATCCACAGAGGAACCATTCCTTCGCCTTCGACGAAGGTGTGGTTGTTACTGCCGTGTTGCATTTTGTCTGTGCATCAACTAGAAAAGGAACCACGCGAAAGGGATGTCATGCTCTCAGAGAAAGGGCCCAGGGCTGGAAGCACCGACCACTGAGTGAGTGGAAGTGACACACTGGTGTCTGACCCTCTCCTTGCTACGGTCACGCAATGATGGTGATGTTTCTCTTCCTCCCACCAAAGCAGGCACTGTAAGCTGAGACTGTAGCACTGAAGGGATCCTAAGAGCTGAATCCCACAAAGATGATGTGTTAGTTGAGTGAGTCTCATGATTTGCGTGTGGTGTATTCTCGATCCTTGAAATGGAGTTTAAATCTTATATTTTCTCAAGCTCCTTGAGGTTAAGGCCAGATGTCCTAAGCAGCACTCAGGACTGGCCCTGGCGTTCAGCCCCACCTCTCTCTCAGGAAATAATCCATGTAAAGCATTTTGTATGCTATAAAAATGGCAAACAGAGCAGTTATTCTTCACACTCCTCTGATCTACCTATTAAAATATTTCTTTTGAATTTTTGTTTGCCTTTATAGAGAGGATTTTATATCTATGTGGAGAAAGTCCACCGTTCATTCTTGTGTTTTTCTTTTCTCCTCTCTCACTGGTAGGAATAGAATGAGGGCAGCTGAGGAGTAAGTGGAATTGAACTAAACAAGCCAATACTCGTTTAAATTTGTGCAATTTTAGGAAATTAGTAACAGTACATTAATGGTAACAAGAAAGAAATATTATTTAAAAAACACAGTTGTGTGTTCACTAATATTGGAGACAGCATCACAGAGTTACGTGTGGGACAGAGGTCTGTTCTGTAAAGAACCAGTGTCTGCCTTCATTAGGACACAGAGCTCAGCAGGGGATCATGTATGTAAAATACATGCAAATTCAAATAATAGGAACATACAGACTTGAAATAAGTTTCTTCAGCCTTCGAGTAGAGCTGTCATCTGCACATCTCTGCGTCAGTGTACCTGCTGCCTGCCACTCTTCCTGTTTGGCAGCCCGATTTCCAGACCTTACGCAGGACAAAACCATTAGACTGCGTCCTCCTTTATATTTTCTTATTTGGGTGCTCTTTCACAAATCGTTATTGTCATTTCCTCTCTTCCCCCTCTTTCCTTTAGCTCTGCAAATATTCCAGGATACACTGGTAAGGTTCATTTCACAGCCACCCACCCAGCAAATTCTGATGTTCCATCAACAACCCCATCGCTAGATTCAGAAGTGCACCAGTAAGTATGAGTCCTATTACTCAGCGTGCTCAGATACAGTGTGTGGGTGTGTGTGTGTGCGGGGGCGGGGGGGATCCTAATTATGGTTATTCCATTAATGAACAATTAAATACTAGGAGTAAATTCACATCGTTTAAAAAAATGGGGTGTCAAGTCCAAAAAGACAGAAGAGTCCATTTTCCCACTGATGCTGCTAAAAGGAGCATATGAAGATATGTAAAGCGCGTTAGGTGGGCAGCATCTTTGCCTCTTGGACTCACAGCTTTGCACACATGCCATCCTTCTGCGTTATCATCAGAACATGTAGGGATGCGTGGGACATACTACATGAGACACGGATTTACTTCCAGTGCATAACCACCTATTTTTCACAAAAGACAACATTCTATTGAAAGTCATATATATTTTTAAACACTATTTTGTAAATTGAAAACAGGAGACATTAGGTGGAAGGTTATTGCAGACTCCGTTATTTGAAGCCAATAGCGAGAAGCAGCACATTATTGCTCATTATAACTCAAATTTGAAAGCCTCTGATGGAAGTCCTGGCCTTGCAAATAAGATGACACAGTTCTGAAAATGCAAATGCAGTTTTAACCCTGTCCAGATGCTGGCCTCGTGCAAATAAATAAACCACCGTGGTAGGCCAGTGTGTGTCTGGGAGGGGGAGGGAGGTAGTTGTCCCCAAAAGGGTGCCTTTTCTCCTTTTGGTGGAGAATCCATTAATTTATCAGACACTTATTGAGCATCCATTCCGGACCAGGCACTGTTCAAGGCACTGAGCACATAGAGCTGAACAAAGAAGATCCCAATTCTCAGGAGCTTACATTCTGGTGGGAAAGACAAACAGCAAAGAACAAATAAAATGATTTCGGAGAGTGATATATGTTGTGAAGAAGAATAGGCAAGGTGATGTAGAGAGTGACTGGGCAGGGTGCCAATTTAGCTAGGTAGTCAGGGAGGGCTTTTGGAGGAGGTGACCTTCAGGCAGAGTCCCAGCTTCTGTCCCAAAGGACTTAAATGTTCTGAAAGGCAGCTACTGTGAAGGGATTCTTGGGCCATGGTTTGCTGTTCATATAGCTATTCGTTCTCTCATTCATTCATATGTTTGTTGGTTAATTCATCTGTTCTTTCATTGGGTCAACAAATGTTTATTGTGCTCCAGGAATTCACAAGAATTAGACCCAGTTTTCAAGGAGCTCAGAGTCTAGCAGAGAGCAAGAAATAAGCAACAATAGTAGAGGATGGCAAGCATCAGCATGATAGTAGTCACTTACGTTGGCCAAGGACTTCCTGTATGCCAGGAACTGTACTAACTCCTTTCACCAACCCAGTAACCCTGTGAGGAGGGTACTCTCCTTTTCCTATTTTCAGATAAGGAAACTGAGGCATACACAAGACACCAGGGGATCTGCATGGGGGCTCTAAAGGAGACTATACAGAGGAAGTGGTTCATAGGGTGACCCTTGGAGGAGTGGAACTTGGTGTCATAGACATTTGAGGGCAGCACTTCACGTGGGCAGGGTTTTGCTTACTCCGGGAAGCCCACAGCAAGAAGCCCCTCATCACGCAATCATGGAATCCAGGGAGGGCGGCTCTCAGGGCCACTGCTAGTCTTTGTATACCACTGTGGGTAGAAAACCCTGAATCATTCCACACGCCCTGTGTGCTTGACCTAGTTCTACTGGCAATGACGAAAGGAGAGGGAAGGTGCCTGCTGACAGAGGGCTTTGTCAGCTGATCTAAGTTTTGGGTTTGACAGTTGTCTAGAATCTCTAGGCCATCTGATGAGAAACATTTTAAAAGGAGGTCATTGGCTTTCTAAGGTAGTACTTTGCATTCAGTAAGTTTTCTCTCAAGACACATTTTCAAATGTCACGAATCCATTTCCAGAGGCAGGACTGGTAGAAATTTAGACAATTAATGTATTCTATTTCATATGAAGGACCTAATGAAACAGTGTCTAAATCGAATGCATCCTTGTATCTGTTGTTTAGACTTACTGTCCAGAAAGAGCTGTGTCTGGATGGTTAATGACTGAGGAGAGTCCTAACTCAGAGATGTTTCCTCAGGGCAAATGCGAACATTTCAGATCCCTTGCCTTTTCCACTCGCAATCCGTCTTCTCATCCTGAGTATCCCAGACCTCACCGCTGACGTCCCGTTGGTCTATCAGGTTTCCACAGCCACATGATCTAGCTATCCAATTTTCTAATACCTTTCAGAGAAATCTTTATTTCTAAGTGGAAAACTATCCTCCACTCTTGCTGCTACTGTTACTCCTGTTACTGCTGTTACTACTCTTACTACTTGAGAAAAGAACTTAGATCTTTTGGCCACATGCTGAGGTCCAGATTCAGGCCCATTATTGGCTCCTGGGCAGCCCTCACACCGACCCACACACACTGCACACGCAGCTGTCATCTGCTGTCACAGAGTGGGGACCAAGATCCCTCTGGGTGGCTTCTCTGGGGTTCTTATTCTCGAGGTGCACTGGGCTCTGGAAACATAGACAGTGTCAGCAACCCAAGTGTCACTCACAATTAGGTGACAGACTTGAGTTGGGCCAGTTGCCCAGGTCTCCGCCCCTAGGTTTACCCCTAACCATGGGTCTTGACAGGCAGTGAGGCCCTGCAGGGAGAAAGCACAGTGGGGCATTGCGATTTTAAAAAGCACTCTGCTAACCCAAGGACGGCACCCTGTAGCAGGAAGGCCGGTGATCTGCATCTATCCTGGCCCTGTGATCAGAGGAAATCAGGTCTTTGAGCTTCTCCATCATGAAGTATTGCCTCTGATTTTTTGTAACACTATATATAATGTTTTTTTGCTAAAATTTCCAGTGAAAGTGGCAGTCTAGGTCTCTTTCTGATGAGTATCATGAGAACTTAGTGAGCTAACTTCCTCCTGATGGTGCCTGCCTAATCTGATGCGTTTTTTCCTGTTGTTTCTAAGAAGCCATCTGCACACGGGCGTGCCCTGGGCACTCCGGGATCTCAGGCTCTGATTCTACCCTCTCTGATCCTCTGTGATGCGTCTTTCTTCTGTTAGGAGCCTGTACTTTCCCCGTGGGGGCCACATTCACACTACTCTCTGCCCTGAAGCCCACCTCCCTCCCCCAGGTCCCTCTCAACAGAGGGGCTCACACTGTGCTTACAGGGCAGGCCAGCCACACTGCTCCATGCACCCTCTCTACGGCCTCCCATCAGAATCTCTACTTCCCCCACTGCTTCTGTTTCCTTTCCTCCCGGAAAGATAAGTTCTCACTCGTCTAAAAGTTTCATCCTGCCCTCTGAGCTCCTGCTCCTCTTCAACCCTGCTTCCTGCCTGCTTGCATATGAAGAAACCCGCTGGCCTCCCAACTGTAGAACGAGACCATGTTCCCCTCTGAGCTGCCCTCCAGTCTCTCTCCTCTCCTTCCTTTCACTTCTAAGCTTCTTTAAAAAGCAAACAACCACTCTCCCTTCTCTCACTGCCTCCACATCCTCCCAGCCCACTCTCTCCTCAACCTCTGGCAGTCTAAATTCTGACACCGCCAGTCAGATGGAACGCTCCTGCCTGCCAGATCCAACACTGATATGGCCACCGGGAGAGAAGGACTGTTGAAACCTCTACATGCAGAGGGAGGGCAGGAACAGCACGTTCACTATGTATCTTTGTGGTTGATAGGCTGCAGTGGTGGTCTGAGGTCAAGTTGTTTAGGCCTTGAATGTCAGTGCCAAGGGTTTGAGGGCCATGTGGTCCCCATAACACATTTTGAGTAAGGTGTACAGGACACCAGCAGTGCCTTAGGATTGATATTGAGATGAGATGCAGAATAGTAAGGAAAGAGATTATTGGAAGGGATTAGAATTGAGGCGATGGGGGTGCAGGAGGTGGATCAGAAGGGGTGTTGCGAATCTGTGAATTCCTGAGTAAGGGAATGCAGGCAGAGGTGCTTCTCTCGACTCCTGTTTCCATTGTGGTCCAGTGTTTCTTGCACATTCCCTCACACCACAATGCAACCTTCACTGGAGTTCTCACTTCATTAACTATTTCCCACAACATAATAAAACAATTATGACTTCGTGATAATCATAGCATAAAAACAAAGCCACTTTAGATTCATTTGCTGTGTGTTCTGTAACTTCTGCCACATACGAACATTACGTAGTATGGGTGTGATTCAAATAGCAACAAATTCACAGCAAAATTGCTACAGGCTATGTGTGGTTGTTCAAGACAGTTGGCACGACACGTGTCCACACTGGGAGGCCACTTCCGGGCACAGACGCGGTTGGCAAAGTATCATTTGCGTAGTGTTCTACGTATTCATGGTGATTTTCTTTCTTTTAATTCTCACAACAAACTTGGTAGGGCGTTAGTCCTGCTCGGTAAATAAGCAAACTAAGACACGTGAGGGCAAGAGCATCCTGTGAGAGCAGTCAGCTTAACCCTGGGGCGAAACCCACTCTCAGCCCCGCACATGGCCTGCCCTGCTTCTGCCCTGCTCTCACTCTCCCCCTCAGGGCTTCCCCCACATGCCCGGTGCCCTCCCACCTCCATGTCTCCCTACACCCTGCCCTTTGCCTGCGCCATCTTGCTTTCACCATTACCTAAGTCCTCCCCGACACAGACTCTGGGCGGAAGTCCTTCTCTGGCCCAGAGAGGTGACTCTACCTCTGTGCTCCCTCATGCCCTGGGCCCAGCCCCACAGTGACTTTGTGCGGTAACCATCGGGTTATTCAGCTGCCTCTCTACAGCCTTACCTCTTTTCAGCTGTATTTTCTGCATTCTTAGCACCTACTATAATTCTAGGCACAGAGTAGACTTTCAATCAATGAAATGGATTGCAATATAACGCGATAAATGAAACTGAATGCAAATAAATGAAATAAATGAAACAATACACACAAAGATTAATCATTCCCAGTCTCTCTTTACGCCATGTGTTCCCCCTCCCTCTCTCTCTCTCCTGTACATGTGTATCATTAGTTGGAGAATAAATGAGGTTATGTCTTTATGCTTATTTTATGTGTCATTTTTTTCCCTCCACTCTGTTACAGCATCTTACGAAAAGAAATGGAAGTTGACCTCTTCCGTCACCAGGCACCATTGTCTCAAATGGTCACAACTGTAAAACCCTACAACCCCTTCAATAAGAAGGAAAAGGAAACCATAGGCTACTGAAGGAGGCTGGCCCTCTGAGTAAGACTTCTAAACCTCAGCCTGGAGGAGGCACTGTGCGTGGTGTGATGGGGAAATAAAAGACCTGGGCGTGTTCCAAGTCTGTCTGTAGAAGTCGAATGAGGGCTGGGGCTCTTTTCTGCCTGAAGCAGAGCATTCTGAATCCCAGCCTCAGTCACTCACCTGACCTGGCCCTAGAATGCCACTTTTCCATGATGGCAGTCAAGATTTTCTGAAAGCCACCAGCAGCAGGGGTCTTATTTTAGAATATTCTTCTTTAGAATTGGAATGCCAAGTCTACCTAGTGGTTTCATGTCTTGACCATGTTAATGCAGGGATTATAACTGTAGAGCACAGATCAGAGATTTTATGATCACAGACTATCCAGTCAAAAACACATATATTGTCAATGGAAAACTGAGTGACTGAGAGAGAAAGTTGCATTCTTCACATAGGGCACACCATCACATGGGAGACAACATCTACGATAAAGAAGGACAACGCCCTCCCCTGCCTGGCTCCAGTATTTCTCTTTGGAAGAGAAGCATCTCCCAGGCTCCTTGAGGGTCAGGAGGCAGGGATGCCCACTCGTGCCCACTTGAGGGTCAGTGTGTGGCTTGGCTGAGCATTGACCAAACAGAGCACCAGCTCCAGAGTCACTTGAGTTTATATGTGGCTGTGCAGGATCCCTCCGGCCTCCCAAATGTAGTTATACTTGTATACACATAAAATTTATATTTGTATACACACGTCTGTTAGAGTTTACAAAGTGCTTTCACAAACCTTGGCTCATTTCATCATGCAATCCCATAGCAGGCATTTCACAAATATCTTGCTATTTTATGAATAAGCAGACTGAGGCTAGGGGAAGTGAAATATTTATCTAAGGTCATACAACTAATAATGAGCAGAGTTAGAACTAGAACCTAGGCTCTTCGAATTTACATATTGTAACTCCCCCACTCCATTTCTCCACAGATTGGATAATCTTCACTGAGTTATTCAAAAACAAAACAGACAGGAAAAAAAAAAACTTCCCTGTGTTTCTAGACTTTTTAGAATTGTTTCTCAGGGTCTTCCTGCCTTCTCCTTCTCCCAAGAGATTCATAATGAGCTAGTTATCCCACAGAAATCCAAGCAGATGTATAACTCCTTTGGGGGTAGTTTGGCCTTGCTTATCTCATTGAAAGGGCAAAATCAGCTATTTTTGTTTTGGGATCATGTGTTGGCTCAGTTGACAACTCCATAGACCTGGGTGTTGACTCTGCAGACCTTCTCTGTGCTCTGCCTTTCTGCCAGGACAAACAGGAGGCACACGTCCATCCATCCTGGGGAGCTGACTCGCCTTTCAGAAAAGGAATGACTTCACCTGCACCTGATCTTGTGGTCTAATTATTTTAAGAAAGACCAATTTTGTAAAAAAAATCAGACCAAAACAAAAATCTTCATCTCTGGAAGATTCTCACCCAAACACTAATGGGAAGGATTATCCCTGTCCAGGAAGTAGATTAATGCAGGTACCTAAGATTACATTTTGTAGTAAACATCCTTAGCAGGCCACTTTGTCACGAAGTATTGCTGCTCAAAATCTGAGGCACCTGTTTATCATTCTGGCCCTTTCTATGGCAGGGCACCAGTAGCACCTGACCTTAACATTCTGAAGGCTAAGATAATTGTTTCCATCCTCTACAGTGCGGATAACTGGATGCCTATCAGAGCACTGAGCACCTCCAAAGCTGCTTCTAGAAGGATGTTGGCTTTGCTTGCAGCATCCCTGGGCTACATCTAGAAGAAGAGAGATGGTAGCTCTCCATTTGCACCATAACTGGTTCAGACTTCTTTTATCTTGTGAAGATAAAATGCAAATCTTGCTCACCACAGAGCTGGAATCCAAGGCCAACACAGAAATGTCAGAGTTCTTGTCCCTTACTTGTGAGTGTCAGTTGTATTCTTGGGTTTCCACGGTCAGCAGTTCAACTGAAAATCATGAAATCAAGGAAGATAGCCTCAGGAATATGCATCTGCTCTTCAAGTTCTGAATTCTGGTCTTGGATTATTCGATGCACAGGAGCCAACATACCTGCACTTCCTTAAGTTAGACACTTGCCGTTCACTCTTCTCCCCAAAGCACAGTCTTCCCTACAACGTTACTCTCTCAGGTTTTACTTATCCCCAGGGATGACACAAACATAGAGAACCTCTGTGGTTTTTATAAAACTTAGGTGGAAGTTAGTGTTAGAAGTTATTAGAGAGTTCACCTAAGAGAGAAAATGCATGCTAATAAGCTTATTGTAGCAAATAAGGATATTCCAATGTAATTTTGTAAAAATATTACACAAGTACAATAATATGAAAATACAAGATTCATGATAGAACAGAAGAGAAAATCTTGAAATGAGTAGATAAAGGAATCATTTTAAATTCCTGAGTGTAGGATAGATTTTTTTTCAATAGGTGATATTGAGACAACTATTTGGAAACAAAAGAGAAAGGTAGAGCCAGGATTCACCCATAAATCAAAAGTCAACTGCTCTTGCAATACAGCTTTCAATGGATAATTTATAGCCTTAGACTGGTTACCGAAATTCAGAGTTCGTTTATAAGGTGAGGGTAGTGGAAATTTTTTCCAAAGAGGCCACTAAAGCCAGAAATCATGAAGAAAAAAGTAATTACTTTTAACATAAAAAATACCACCAAAAAATATTAAGACATCTGTTGGGAAAATGTATCAAACAAAAGATTCATATCTTCATTATAAAAACAGCCCATGATAAAAACAAATTACACCAATAGAAACAAGACAAAGGATATTAACAAATACATTAAAAAATAGGAAATATAAATGGCCAATAAACAAACAAAATCTTTACATCTCAGGAGTATTAGAGAAGTCACTGTAATATTTCACTTTTCACCCATGGATCAGTGCTGGTGAGAGATTCATATCTTTACTTTCCACTAGCAGGACGCAACATTGCTGACACCTTTCCACAGGGTCTTTGGCAAAATGTTTCAAGAGCTTTTCCAGGTGGCATATCTTTAGACTTAGCAATTTCACTTTTAAGATTTTGTCAAGCAAATAATTATAACAGAAAGCAAATATGTTGGTATAAAATAGTTGAAGGAGCAGCATTTTATAGCTGAGAGAAATTAGAAACAACAATGTCTAGCAGGAGAAAATTTAATAAATTGCTCTTCATGAATATACTGAAGTACAGTATATGCATTAAAAAGACAATGGAGCTTTATATTTAATATCATGGAAAGATATACATGCAATTATTAGTAAATGCAAAAAGCAGATTTTATAACAATATGTATTTAATTATCCTAATTTTAAGTATGAGTATACATAGAATAATGTGGGGAGATGTAAAAAAAATATTATTCTGTATTTTTATACTGTTACTACAGAAGTGCATTTCTTTAAAATTGGAAAATTTAAAAAGTTATAACAAGACAATATCCTTAAAACTCTTCAAACTCCTTATAAAAGAAACTATCCAGAAAATGTCTTTTATGAATTTAGTATCAGGAAAATGTTTGTTCCTCCTGAAGAACTGGTGTCTGAGTATGAGAATTATGTAAACCACCCACCTCAACCTTTTCTAAAATTCGGTGGTTTGCAATATATACAAGAGTGAAATTGCATAGTTACCCTAAATGGAAAATGCTAAAATGGAAAGTGCTTCCATTTTCCCATGCCTCCCAGGTAGCTCAAAGCTGAGTTAATAAATAGATCAACTTAGAGACTCCAACAATCTTGAACCAGGGTTTCACATTCAAAATCGATACTCTAATGAGCCTCCTGAGTCAATCTGGTACACATCGAAGTCTGAGAATCACTGATTCTCGTGGGTTGTGTACCTTCTTTTCCCCCTTTTGACATAATTTCAGATATTTCTGTTTCTACTTTAAGATCCTTATAATATTAGGAGTTGCCTTAATCCCCTGGGGAAATCGATAGGATACAGATTACATTAAAAATGTTTAATGAGTTTCCCACTAGTGTTTCACACACAGAGTGGATTACTGATTCGAGGAAGGAGAAACCAAAGCCAGTACCGCACAGTGAAAACTGTCGCACTTGCCTTCCTGGTCGGGGCAACCTCCAGTCCTGAAGCAGGCTGTCAGCAGTAGAGGCACAAATTACCTGGTAGCAGGAATAACCTGACAACCCAGGACTATTTTCTAATAAGTGAGAATATTCTAAGTTAGATCAATTTGTTCCATTTAGCCTAGGCTAGACTGGATTAATTTTTTTTTATTTTTTTGGTGAGGAAGATAAGCCCTGAACTAACATCTGTTACCAATCCTCCTCTTTTTGCTGAGGAAGAATGGCCTTGGGGCGGCTAACATCCGTGCCCATCTTCCTCTACTTTATATGTGGGACGCCTGCCACAGCTTCTGAGAGGGAAAGAACGGTCAGCTAATAGAAAGCCAGAAATAATGCTATGATTATAATTATAAACATAGGTATAATGGTAGCTCTAGTAATACTGAGAATCTTATTACCTGAGACAACAGGTGAAGCTGATCTACCTTTTTCTGATGCACATTCATTCCTTCAACAAATACCTGGAGACTCAACCAGGTGCGAGATGCCTGAGATTCAGGAGCCTGGGCAGGTCCTCATGAAACATTCACGTCCACAAGCAAACAGGAGCAGCTGATAAAGTTGTTAGACATTGATTGTGCTAAGGAGGCTACAGAGAACAGCAATGTGCATAATCTTTCAACTCAGACAAAAAATAAATCCTTAGCACAGTAAACTGAGCAATTTTTCTTCAAAAATCTATGCCACATTTTTATTAATTTTATTTATTTACTTAAATGCAGATGCCCAGTTGCTGCCAGTAGAGAATCTGACTCAGTAGGTCTAGAGTGGGGTCCAGGTATCTGCTTTTTTTTTTTTTTTTTTTGGTGAGGATGATTGGCCCTAAGCTAACATCTGTTGCTAGTCTTTTTGTTTAAGGGAGGTTGGCCGTGAGCTAACATCTGTGCCAACCTTCCTCTCCTTTGTATCTGGGTCGCCACCACAGCATGGCTTGATGAGTGGTGCAAGTCTGTGCCTGGGATCCAAA